AGGTGGCTTAGACCGGTAGAAGTCGGGTGATTTCTGTCACCGCGAGCTATAGGTGGTTACCCGGATCTGCTTGGATGGCTATGAAGTCATGGTATAACTAAGTGTTAAATGAAGTTGAGACCAAGGCGGAGACTTGCGAGTTTTGGACTATAGTATTTCCATCCGTGTCGCCGATTAAGGACCCGACCGTTGTTGGGCCTCGAGTCATGTTGAATGCATGCCTTACATTTAGCTGGCCGGATAAAGTACCTTCCGACCTTGAAGGGAGATTTTTGGGCCGAGTAGATTGCCTTGCACACGACGCGTGCCGAAGCGGTGTGGTAGGACACGGGGCGGGATGATAAGACCAAAGTGCGATCGGTCGGCCCCGGTACATGTGGTTCCTGGCAAACTCGAGATACCTGGAATGTTGACTCGGTGATCAATATCTCACTTTAGCGGGTGAGTGAGATTTGTGTAAGGAATAAATCACCAGCTGTTTAGGAATCGATTCGAATCGCCATCGCTCCTGGATAGTGAGCACTTGACTTGAGTTACTTCATCGTAGTAAATGTTTATGGAACACTTGGACAGTTATAGTGAATATGATAGTATGGAAGTTGTTTAATGATCAGTGGTTATTATTATCTGCTTAATCACATGTTTACTCTAGTATAGGTGCAAATCTAGTCGACAGGTTAATAATAATTAAATTGACAATAATGCTTTTAGAAAGGTTCTTGAAATGTTAAAAATGCTTCTTTTGCAAATGAGTCAGCTACCCTACTATAAAGCCTTCATAATCCTTGGTGTCATTTATTTTTGATTATGTCGGGTAAGTCTAGCTGAGTACCTTCTCGTACTTAGGGTTTTATTCCCACTTGTTGCAGATGGGCAGATGTATTACGGCTACTGTATCAACTGCCTTTATCCTGCGATGGGTGATGCTTAGGACCATGGGCATGGTCATTCCTTACGTCTCGTCTAATGCTTTTGTTGGAGATGATCATTCGCTGGCACTATATTTGAACTCCGCGTGTGTGTGGTTTGAACAAATGACTTCCGCTACTTTTATTCGAACTGGTTTTGTAATAACTATGTTTAAACTCTGATGTATTTGAGATTGCGAACTTTTATGTAATATGTGATGGTGACCGCTAAACTTATTACGATCTTGGCTGGAATGGAAGTTGGTTTGAAATCCTTCGTGATTTCACGGACTACCGGGTTATACGGGCTTAAGTTTGCTCAATCGTCTGCTCTGGCGAATGATTTTCTTACTTAATTTCGTATAATTGGTCGGTTCTGTTACAGTAGCATATGGCATGTTTATGGGCTTGTGAACCTAGTGTTTGATCTAGAAAATGAGTTATAAGTGTTTAACTCAACATGGTATAAGATAACCCTTGAAATGAGGTGTGAAGAAGCTTGTCATTGGATTAAACCGAGTTAAATGTCTTTGGCAAGTGTTCTAGATTGAACCAAATTTAGGAAAATAATCATCACCCCATTGATTGACCTTGATAATATTAACCTATCTAAAATTGAGCCTTTGTGGTCATTGATGACAAAGGGGTAGAAGTTATGCATAAAGATAGTGAAAAGATGACAAAGGGGGAGAACTTTGATATAGGGGTAGAAATATGAAAGTAAGGGGATCAATTAAAATTTGAGCACACAAGTAGGGGGAGTAAGCTCATAAACTTGTATGTTGTATTTGAATGTGCATTTTATATGTATGCTTGCATGGCATAAGTTTTTAAATTAAGATTCCATGCTTGTGTGGTGTATGCTAGTTGTAGGTTTGAATGATGAAATGAAAAGCTAGCATGCATAGGTGGTAGTTAGATATGCCTTGCTTTGCGTTCACAAGTGGTATTAGAACCTTGCTTCTAATGCTGATCTCATGAGTTATCTAGTTCTTATCTTTGCAAGTGGTATCTAACTAACAATTGTGCTAAGGATAGTATATTTGGTGCACTCCGATTGGTATCATGCTTCAAAGGTCCAACTCTTATACCTTAGCATCATTTGGTAGACATTACTCCCCCACAACTCAAATCTATGCATATGTGCAAGCTTCTATCCAAACTTTTAGCACATATGTAGGGGAAGCTAATGCTACCATTTAGGGTTCATGGTCCACATGTTTCCTTCTTGATGAGAATTTCTCTCCCCAGATTCATTCCTGATCACGTCATGCATGTAGTAGTAGACAATATATAATTTTGTCCCTGCAACTTCTTCAGAAGAAATCCACATCCTTGCCTCCTCATGCCTCTAGCAGCGCGCTGAGCCTCCATTATCTACTATAAATCCTCGTGATGAGCACCACTCCAAATATGCATGTCACTCCTATCTGATCTGGCTCTTCAAGATGCAAAACCTCACACAAGCATGCACGTTTGACCTGCTAGTAAAAATAATCTGGCCACTTGATGATCTCCACCATTGATATGCATCCTGCGCCACGCATCAGCCAAGCCTGCTTCTAACCTGTCAAAATTCTTAAGCAATGTGTGTTTCAGCTGATTGACATGACTACTATTAGTAAAGGCAATTTGGCTGACCAGATAAACTGACTTGCCAAATCATATTGTCAGCATTAAGCTCCCTCTCTTGGTCATTTGCATTGACATCGCAACCTTATGAGTTTAGCCAAAGCCCTCCCACTCATCTCCATCATTGATTCATCATCTTTGTGAGATTGAGAGTGAATCCAAGTACATTGCTTGAGTGATCGCATCCAGAGGCACTTGGTGATTGTGTTTCGCTATGAGATTCGCTTGTTTTTCTTGGTGGTTGCCACCACCTAGATGGCTGGGTGTAGCAAGGATCGTCGAGCGGAGGAAGGTGCTTGTCTCCGGCTCTGATCGTGGTGATTATGAGGGGTTCTTGACCTTTCCCGATGGAGAGCCAAAATGTACTCTAGTAGATTGCCCGTGACTTTTGTGATCCTCATCTTGTGTTGGTTGTGCGGCACCCGATTGCGGGTTAGGTGTGTGATGCCTATTAGCACGTGAACCTGCAAGTGAGTGAATCACCACAAACAGAGACTAGCTTGCCGACAAGCAAGTGAACCTCGGTGAAAAATCATTGTGTCATCTCTAGCCACTGGGATTCTATTGTGATTGATTGACTTCATCTTGTGATTGGCTCATTCCTCGACACGGCGGTATAACTCACTATCCATCTCGTGTATTTACATTCTTAGTGTAGCTAAACTCTTTAGTGTAATTAGTTTTGAGAGCTAGCTTGTGTCTTGTCTATTGATTAGTGAGACTCTTTAGTTAGTCTTTGAGAGCTCGCTAACTTAGTGTAATGGCATAGCCTTTATGTACCTAGAGACTATAGAAACTAGAATTGTGGTAGTTGACTTGCATTTTTAGTAGACTATAGCAAGAATTATTTCGCCTCATATTTGTCTAACCACATTGGTTAGTGTTGTTGTAGAAATTTTTTATAGTCTATTCACCCCCTCTAGCCATTAGGACCTTTCAATGTCGCAATGGCGCCGGTGGCTAGCGTTACAGGGGCCTTCCTCGCACGACGTGCCTCGCCCTCCTCTCCCTCCCTTCCCTTCCCTTTCCTTCCCTCCATCTCCTTGCCGCAGCCATTCGAGTTCGGCGGGGAAACCACACCCGACTAGCACGCAGGCGCCCGCGGAGGTGGTGGCCTCGGGTGGGCCCGACGACGGCGCAATGCCCACGTGGTGGCCCCGCAGCAAGCTGAGGTCCGCGCCGTCTGCTCACTACGCATGGGAACAGAGCAGCTGCGGCCTCCGTCTGGACGTCCGGGCGCTACTCGTGTTGATTGTTTTTAGAAAGTTGCACGTGTATGTATATATACGCGCAGTTGGGGAAAAAAGAAGAAGATTTCAGAACAGATGTGCTACACGCTTATACAGCCACGAAGTAGCCCGTAGTCCAATTCAGCCCACCATGATAGGAGCGCGCGCCTGATGTTTGGTCGGCGACCGACTGATCTCCGACCACGACCAGGCGAAGCTCCCGGCCGGCCGGCCGCGTCCTCGTCTCTGGATCTGGGCCGCGCGACGAAGCTGTCGAACCGGTCGGCTCTTACGCAGGCTTGCCTTGCGTTGACTGGCTTGAAGCGCGTCCCACCCTAGCAGCAGCAGCTAGCAGGCCAGCAGGAAACGCCCACGCAGAAGCCGCAGCGGCGGCACCCACGGCGATTTTTTAACACCTTTTTAAACTAATTTTAAATCTAACACTATTTTTTTTCTTTCAAAACTTGCATGGTGGCGCGGCTAGAGGATGATATGGCGAAGACCGGAGACGCTGACTGGTGACGTGGCAGGATCTTGGCTTGGCAGTGCCGCGCCATCCCTCACGGCGCAGCGGAGTAGGAATGCAAATCAAAGCTGTTGTGTAGCTGCACGTCGCGTCCTCCCGTTAGCTCCTGCTCTCTCTCTCTCAGGATGGCTCCAGCTCTCATTAAAGACATTTAATGGACATGCCAGTGCTAGTGCCAGGCGCCTAGGCGTCTGCCTACTGGCCGGCCAACACAGATGGACGTGCGAGCGCTCGGTGGCCAGGCAAAGCTGGAGCTGGAGATGCGATGGATTAAAAAAAGGGTTAATTGGATTCAGACCATTACAAAAATCGCATATCTGAGAAATGCCATTACTATTCTTCAAATTCGAATCCTGCCATTACAATTCCTTGTACAACGGAGGAATGCCAGATTCTACGCTTCGCTCGACCTCTGGCCCACCTGCTGGCATACGTAGACGTACCCCAAATCCATATGGTCCATTATGCCCCTGCGTTCCGTATTAGAAGGTTGCGCCGCTGACTGGATCGAGCTCATCTATTCCCCACCTTCTCTTCCTCCCAAACGACAGCGGCGACGACGGCGACGCTCCCGACGGCGACGACGACGGCTACTGCTCTAGGTGGCCACAGCTACTGGTACAACGACTGATCCTCCTTCCCTACCCCATCCGCCATTCTCTATCCCTCTCTAGTGCCTGCATCTGCTCTGTGGTGATGGCGAGCATGGCGGCCAGCTCTGAGGCATTGTTCATTGTCTTCCTCTGGTTGATTGTCCTAAATGCAAGGTCAAGGTCGTTAGACGCAAGAGCCAGGCTGGCAACGTGTATTACAAGTGCCCCAACAATTTTCGGGTAATTTGACATGTTTTTTGTTTATTTTTCGTTGAATGCAGCTAGGGGTAATTGTGCTTGATTTTGATTTATTTATGTTATGCAGAACGATGATACTCGTGGGGAGTATTGGTTCGAGAACGAGTACCTGGAGTATTTACGCAAAAATCATCTAGCCCTGCTTGAGGGTGTCGAAGTGGATGGTGTGCAGCCTGCAGCTGTTGCCCCTACTGTTCTTGGTGCTCCTGCTGTTGAAGGGACAGAACAAAATAGTGGCAGATTGCTAGAGATCTTTGGACATTAAGGTTCGGATAATGACTTGAAGGTCGACATTGCCAACTTGAAGTCGGAGATCAAAAATTTGAAGAACGGAGGATTGAGCAAGCCTTTTGTCGTTAGCTATGCATTAGTTGCTATGGTGATGCTGAACATATTTGTAACTATTTTAGTTGCAGCAATTTGGAAGTGAAGTAGTGGGCAGGTTAGGAGCAAAGATTGTAGTGTGTGATCATTTTGGAAGGCAAAGAAGTATCATGTTTTTTATCAGTGTTAATCTGAATATGTATGTGACATGTGACTCTGTTTCAGTAGTGGTTATGTAAATCTTTTTTCAGTGATTATGTGACTGTTTTGTGAATATATTTCTATGTTTTTAGAGGATGTTTGGTTGCCGCCAAGCACGCCACTCCATACGTGGCGCCAAGCTTTTTCTCGGCAGTGGCTCGCCACTACATAAACAACGGTGGCGCCCGAACCTTAGGCGATGAATTTTGGCGCCTCACCACTGGCGTGATTTTGTCTTTGTGAGTAGCGATGGTGGGCCACGACTTTTCGCGAGAACCAAGCGGCAAAGCCTGATAGCTGGTGGCCGCCACAGTCCGTGGCGTGGCTCGCGTCGGCAGGAACCAAACACCAGCCTAGCTCTCGGTGGTAGCCACATGTGTGGCGTGGCGGACGTCGGCCGGCAACCAAACAGCTCCTTAGAAACACAAACTTTCACAGAATTGGGTTCATAAACACAAGCTCATTATGACCAGAATACTTTTATGGGTTCAATAACACAAGCACAGTTACCTTCTGACCATAACACAGACAAAGGTTCAGAAGCAAGTACCAGACTACCTAACATCCAGTTCACATGCACATAAGCACAACTACATGGCCAGTCCACATCCAGTTCACAGGCACATCACGCCTTCCCTACAGGTTCAAAAGATTACATGGGACAATTTCAACTTCAAAAGACAACAGGCAGAATTCTGGAGGCTTCGAACAACACTAGTTTCTGGAGTAGCCTCCGCCCTCTTCTGCTTCTTCTTTGCTGGGATCTTTTTCTTCTTAGGTGTCTTCTTCTTCTTCTTAGGGGTCTTCTTCGTCTTAGGTGTCCTCTTCTTAACTTGTGATGGTCCAGCAATAGCATCATCTTCTTCTTCTTCTAGTTGCCTTTTCCTATAAATGTCACAATATTGTTAGGAAATAGTTACTAAATTGTTACAATCGACCTGCAATAAAAACAAGTCTGGCACTTGCCTTTTTGTTGTTGCATTCAACCCAACCTCTCCATCTTCTCCTAACTCTGGCATCTTGCAAGTCTTGGCAAAGTGGCCAAAATCACCACACCTTTTGCACCTCACCTTCTTCTTAGTAGCATTTTTCTCCAAACTTCCTCTGATTCTTACTACTCTGGGCCTACCAGCCGCTCTTCCTAATAGAGGTGGCCAAACTTTGAACCCAACGTCAACCGCTGGCCACTATGATTTGTCTGGCATTGGTTCAACTCTTTGAGCATATGCAGCCCTGAAACTCTGAACAGAATAGTACTCATGCACAAAGTCTGCAATTTTCATTCCCCTGTGTGACAGTATCCATGCCAATGCATGTTTGCACGGCTTGCCTGTGACTTGCCACTCTCTACATGAGCAAGAATGATGCTGCAAGTCCGCAGTGTGCCGCTTCTAGTTGTTCCAGTCATCAATCAATGTCACTTCTGCTATATCCAAATCACTCTGGACAACCTTAACAACTTTCAGGTTACTGCTTATAGTGTTTAGGTCCTTGATGACACCAGGGAGTATACCATACTGTAGAGTCCTACCAATCTGCTTCCTTAAACATCTCTTTTCCATTATCAGCTCCCTTATCCCATCAACCAGTTCATGCAACAAAAGACCTTTCAAGTGCCTAATCTGAGAATTGAAACTTTCAGAAACATTATTGGTCAAGTAATCACATTTACTATTCTCTGAAAATCCACATCTATACCAAACCCTGTTGTGGTAGTCCTGCAGGTATTTTATGGCACCTGGATCAAACTCAAAGATCTTGTTCATGTGCCACTTGAACAAACCCTCAGTGTAACTTCTTGCAGCTGGGTACAAGTGATCAGTGAACACATCTCCACGATAGTGCTTCATGAAGTTGGCATACATGTGTCTCATACACTCCCTGTGCTCTACCCCAGGGAAAACTGCATCCACAGCCTTTTCAAGACCTTTACAGGCATCTGTACATATAACCAAACCAGTTGGATAACCAACACCTCTACGCAACTGCTGCATGAACCACGTCCAGTTGTCTTCTGTCTCAGAATCAAAAACACCATAGGCCACATTATACAACCAATTGTGGCCATCCACTGCAGTTGCTAATGCTAGCTGCCCAGTATATCTGCCACGCAGAGCAGATGCATCTACACCTATAAATGGCCTACATCCAGCTAAAAAACCATCAATGCATGGCTTCAGTGCTACAAAAATTCTCTTGAAGCGCTTTTTCTTCTTCCCTTCTACCTCTATCTCTACAATGGTACCAGGGGAACTAATTTCTATCTGTGCTTTCCAGTTGTACAGCAATTGAAAACTTTCTTCATACTTTCCATGAATCTGATCAAGAGCAACCTTCATACCAGACCATGCCTTAGAGTATTTCAGTTTGATGCCATAATCTCCTTCAAGCTTATCCTTTGCATCTTTGGCTTTTTTATTTGGATTTTTCTTCACCCACTCTCCTAACCTATCAGCACACCATCCTTGACTAGCCATTTTGCCTACCAACAGCTTGGTACTGGGACAGTTGTGGTCAGCAGGCAACACTTTTATCTGCACGTCATATGTTGCACAGTTAACAATTTTATCTAGAAGCAAAAATTATAGAAGCAGGCAACAATTTTATTTGCAAGAAAAAAATAAAGGTTTCATGTTGTACCTGTATTGTTTTTTGATCAAAAAGTCTAGAAGCATGAATTCTCCATGGGCACCCCTCGGCTGCACACTTGGCAATGAATCTGGTCGGGTCAGTTTTCACCTTATCAAACTCAAATCCTTTCTTCACAGCATAATGCCGCACTGCCTTTCTGAATGAAACTATGTCAGGAAACAATTGTCCCTTGATAATCTTGGGGTTCTCTGGATCATGAAGCACATGAATCTCCAGGGGATCTGCATCATCAACTTCTGCCTCTAGAGGAAGACCTCCATCAACAGCAACATGATTAGAGTTTTCATCAACCGGTTCAACATTGTCAGTGGTTGGTGGCTGTCTAGGTGGTATTGTTATATACAAGTGCTCATCATCTACCCCAACATACTCCTCATTATCAAACAAGTCTGGCTCTCTATCTGGTTCAAGGTCTGGTCCATTGGTGGAGCTATCTAGTAAAGCATCAGCATTGGTGGTGCTATCTGGGAATGCAGTCGCACTGGTGGGGATATCTGGCATAGCATTAGCTTTGGCAGCCCCATGTAGCATAGCATCAGTAGGTGCACTGTCATCAGTTGGAATAACACAAAGGGGCTCTAGTAGATCGAACTCAGGTGCATCACACATAGGTGCACTGTCATCAGTTGGAATAACACAAAGCGTGAAGAGGCCATCCCTAGCATCAATGTGAAAACAAATCATAGAAAGATGACTACAGCAATTAACCACAAACTACTATTTGTCCTGGTATTAGAGAGATGGAGTTTTAGAGGATTACCTAGACATCCCGTCCTCTATCACAGAGTTAGCGCCGAGCTTGGCGCTAAGAGACCCCCTAGCCATCTGCTCAACCTTCCATACCTGCGGATCTAGGGGGTCGCCACCAATCCCCGCCACCGTGCCCGCCAAGAGTCGTCCCAGTCTCAATCGCAGTTGCCACTCTCCGCCGCCGCCGCCGCCGCCGCCGCCGTAGGGTTAGGGTTCGTGGACGGAGATGAGAGGGAGGAAAGGAACGGTACCGAGTCGATCCAGTCAGCGGCACGGGCTTCTAATGCGAAAGGCAAGGGCATACTCGACCATACGGATTTGGGGTACGTCTGTATGCCAGTAGGTGGCCCAGAGGTCGAGCGAAGCGTAGAATCTGGCATTCCTCCGTTGTACAACGAATTGTAATGGCAGGATTCGAATTTGAAGAATAGTAATGGCATTTATCAGATATGCGATTTTTGTAATGGTCTGAATCCAATTAACCCTAAAAAAAACAGTATGACGTGGTAGTTCTTTTAGAGGGATTTTATTTTAGAGAATAATTCAATCAGAAAAATCTTGCAATCTTTTTTTTATCTAGACTTTTGCAGTTACTTTAAAAGAATCATTAAATATAATACTCTCTCCGTCCCAAAAGAAAATACAATTCTTATTTTTAAGGGGTCAAACAATTTAAGTTTACTCACAACTATATGAAAAATAAAAATATTTGTGATATCAAATAAATATCATTAGATTAATTATTAAATTTATTTTGTGGTAAGTCTATTTAAAGACATAAATATTGGGACTATTAATTTGATTAGATTTTTAAAAAAGTTAAGTTGTTCTAAGCCTAAAAGTTTTTTTTGGACGATGGAGTACTTGCTAGTGATCTACGTACATACGGTAGTACGTACAGTAGTACTGTACAAATCATATCCCTCCGTCCACAGACGACGATGATTGATGGGAGTCTTTGGACAGAGGAGATTTGACAAGTCATGCCGTTCGTGCTCCCTATTCTCTGCAACCATCAGCACGTTTGCCAAACCCACAAACTTGAATGAACACCCACATCCCTCCGTCCACGAAGGAAAACAAAGGTACAGTGAGGACCACGCGTAGCGTGAGTGGCAGGAGCCTGTGGCTTGCTCCGTGCCGACCAGCGTTCGAGTCCCGGACTCGGCGCTCGTCCCTCACCTCGAAGATTTATTATCCGTTAATAATTTTCAGTTGCCTCGCGCAGATGTGCCACAATGGTCTAAGTGACGTGCCCGCCACGCTTAGAGTCTGATGATCTTCGAGTATCTCTCAGCTGCGTTCGTTGTCTAGGTATAGTTGTAGGTTTGTTCGTATACCGTGTGTGTGGTGGTGTGTGTCTGTATCCGAACAGATACTACTGCTGTACTTAGATGAGAGGCAAAAAAAAAAGATAAAGAAGAGTACAATCTTAAACCATATCAAATTTAATTAATAAATACAAATATTTATATCAACGATACTAAATAAGTCCTATTAAAAAATTTCTGTTTAGAATTTAATGTAACTATAAGAGTTGCAAAAAAAAACTCAAAACTTTCTATTATAAGAGTTGCAAAAAAAACCCTCAAAACTTTCTATTGAGGGCTGTGCCAGATGTTTGCTCCACAAAATCAATCTCCTCCACAGATGTTTGTTTTTCCGGCCAAAAATAAATTATAAGTTAGTAAGTTGACTTTTGTTTTTGAGGGTACCCTAATAATGGGGAATAGTCATTTTTTGTCTTTACAATAAAATAGCTATATGGCCAAGCTTAGTTTTGTTTAAAAAAATATATTGTAATACAGGAAAAATAACAAATTACAGTAGGGAGGCGCCTAGCAGCCTAGCACTAGCACTCTAGCAGGGCCAATCCGTGCAGTAATCCACGCAGGACAGAGTTGGGATGCAACCTGCAGGGGCGCCTGGCGTGCAGGAGGAGTGAAGGACACGCATCCTGGCCGTAAGGACGCATCATGGCAGCGCAGACTCGCGGCAGTCGGTGTTTGAGGGCAGCGCCAGCGCGCGGGAGGCGCCAAGCGGGAGAGAGATGGCGCACGCGGGAAACGGGACCACTACGAGTTGGTGAGCGAAAATTGAGAATAGATCCGGTTCCGTCTGTCGGATTCAGGAATCTCTGGTGCCGTCTCTCACACATAGGAGGACGCGACGTGCAGCATAGCAGCTTTGTTTTGCATTCCTACTCTGCTCCGTCGTGAGGAATGGCGCGGCATTGTCGCGCCAATATCGGTGGCGTGACAGATCCTGTCAAGTCACCCGTCAGCGCCCCCGCTCTTCGCCACGTCATCCTCCAGCCGCGCCACCATGCATGGCGTGGCACAGGCGTTTCCCCACGCCATAGCAATAGGCGTGACAAAAGTGTTAGTTTTGGAAAAAAACAAACAGTGTTAGATTTAAAATTAGTTTAAAAAAGTGTTAAAAAAAAAAAATTCCCCACGGCCACGGGCGTCTCTCCCGCTTGTAGCGCGCGCGTGGTCGAATTGACGGGACGGACGGGACGGGAGCTAGCCGCGACAGGCCGCCGCCAAGCCGCAAAGTGCGCCGCGGTTGAGACAGGGGCGAGCATGTCTCGCCCTCGCTCGCCCATGCCGGGCGGCGCGTCCGGCGCCCTTTCCCGTCGTATCCGACGACTGCGCACCGCAGACTGCACAACCTGCTCTCCCAGCCATACCCCACCTTCATGTCGCCAGTTGCGCTTGAGCAAGTTGGCCGATGCGCTGCACTGATCCACCCAGACCCAGCTCTGATCTCTGCCTGACAGCGTTCGGCACTGATGAATGAACTGACTGGTCGACGACGTGACCAAGGCCTTGTTAAGATTGCAAATTTTTGCAACCTGAATACTGTAGTACGTTTCGTTTGTATTTGATAAACTTTGTTCGATCATGGACTAACTAGGCTCAAAAGATCCATCTCGTGATTTACAACCAAACTGTGTAATTAGTTATTTTTTTTAACTACATTTAATGCTTCATGCATGCGTCCAAAAATTGATGTGATGGAAAGAGAGTGAAAAAACTTGGAATTTGAAGGTGATCTAAACAAGACCCAACGCAACGTTCTGACATCCGCGAGACGAGACCGGACCGGAGATCTCTGCCATCGCCAGCTCTCAGTCACACCTCCGTCTGCAGATCATGCCTGCGCCAATGATAAGATATTGAGACGAGACGGGACACGAGACCATGCATGGCGGCATGGCGCGCCCACAAGTTAGCAGTTAGCTTCTGCTGTACCGTGCCTCAGGGTCGTCGTGCAAGCTGCACACCAAACACGTTTGGATTTGGATGTTTCCGTTTTTCGTCAGAGACGCAGGCATCTTTCTTCCCGTTGCTGGCAAGGTCGCAACTTTCGCGTCTCTCATCTCATCACATATGCTGTGCAGATTTGGATCTTACAAAAGGAGGTGAAAGCTGGAATCGTATCGTCTCGTTCTTGGCTTGCAATGGCCGTGGAATCATATCGTTTGGTGATCGGTTCTAAAGAGCAGATTCACAGGGAGACGGAGTCAAGGGTGCCCACACCCAAAAGAAAAGAAAAAAAAGCTGGCGAACTATGGTCGACGAGCTAGACCTGGTTGAGATAGTGAGATCTTCTAGGGTTAGCTGCAGCCTGAAAGCTGACTACGTCAAACAAACGGGCAGTGCGAGAAATTAAACACTGTGAAATAGTCAAACAGATCGCTGCTTCCTCGAAAGGAACAGAACAGATCACTTCGCGTGATCAGTTGAAGAAGAAAAAAAAATACTCTGCACACTGCACTGCACCCAGCTCTCTGTTTCCTTGGGACGAAACAGTGCTCGGTATCCCCGTGTTTGACTTCGAATTTCGAATTACTGCACATATCTGAAAAGTATAGGCGTTGACCTCACAGCTCTTCAACTGCACCTGTTTGCATCAGCATCAGCTCTCGTATTGGTCTAATCTTCAGCTACGATCAGGCTGATTTCTGATCTGTTCGCACATATCAAAGATGATCGTGATCTGCGTCTGACTAGACATCGAGGTGCTGATTTACAAAAAGGAGATTTACAGTCACTGACTTCTCCACAAGTCAGCTTTCAGGATCACTGGGAAGTGGGAACGCAGAAAGTAAACTAAATCTTCTGTCGGCAGGATTAGAATCGACTCCAACACCAGCTTCATCTGCTTAATCTTTTACCCTTTGGCTCCTTAATTTGCCTGCAAGAAATGGCTCGAACACACAAACTTGCTCTACCGAAGTAATACGCATTTTGGTAAAAGGAAAAGGTAAACAAAAAGGAGGACCCAATATGACAAACATGCAGAGGCCAAAACCATTTGCGTCGATACTGAAACCGTTCCAAGCTTGGGCGAATCAGTCGATGCTTTGCCAATTGGTTGAGATAGTTTTGAGGGAAATTGGTTGAGATAGTGAGATTCATCCATTCATCTCCCACGGTTAGCTGCATCCTGAAAGCTGACTACGTGAACAAACGGGTGGTGCGAGAAACACTGTGAAATAGTCAAACAGACTGCTGCTTCCACGAAAGGAACAGATCACTTCGCGTGAGCAGTTGAAAAAAAAAATACTCTGCACCACCCAGCTCTCTGTTTCCTTGGACGAAACAGTGATCGGTGTGACGGTGTCCCCGTGTTTGACTTCGATTACTGCGTTTCTTGTGGTAGCCCTGACGGCAGCTGCAGCACCAGAGCACATATCTGAAAAGTATAGACTTCACAGCTCTTGAACAGCACCTGCTTGCGTCAGCTCGTATTGGTCGAATCTTCAGCTATGATCAGGTTGGTTTCTGATCTGTTGGCACATATCGAAGATGATCGTGATCTGAGTCTGTCTAGACATCGAGGTGCTGAAACTGGGAACGCAGAAAAGGGGATTTACAGTTCTCCACAAGTGAGCTCTTTTTTTTTTTTGATCATCACAAGTGAGCTTTCAGGATCACCGGGAACGCAGAAAGTAAACTAATCTTCTCTCGGCAGTATGCCAGTATTGGAGTTGACTCCAACACCAGCTTCATCTGCTTCATGCAATAATATTTTACCCTTTGCCTCCTTCATTTGCCTGAAAGAAA